CCCCCACCTTCAGTTCAGTCCCTACCTGCACATACAGCCCAAATAAATCTGCCAAGCCTACTGTGCGGTAATGGGGGGGGGGGGGGGGTTCCATTACTGGTAAGGGGGGAGGGGCACAACAGGAAAAGTCTGGGCAGTACTAAACTAAAATTACGTTAAGGAATAAAAGCTTCCAACTATTGTTCTAGTCTTGGGCCTATGTTTAAATAAATCTAGCAAAAGAGCTGTGTACATGAGACACTCGGACTGGAGAGGATGGCTGTGCTGGTTTCTAAACTAAAAGAGGTGGATGTTCTCAGCTCAAGTCTTTGGTGTTTGCCCTAGGGATGTTAAACTTAATCAACTAATCAATGGATTTTCCTGATGGCTCTTAATACATCTAAAGCGCGCATTCAGACTGAGAGCCTGCGGGGGGGGGGGGGGGGGGGAGGACCCAGCACAAGCCAGGAATCAGCTATCCTGGCTCATACTATCCCCCCCTCCCCTGCTGCGCTTCTGATTTTTAAATGTATTAAGAGCCAGCAGGCTCTTAATACATTTAAAAAGCAAAGGTGCAGCATCTGGGACAGGATGCGAGCTGGGAATCAGCTGCTTCTTGGCTAACGCCTGTCCAAGCTACAGCCCTGCCTCCCCTTTCCCCCATGGAGACGGTGCTGGGAGGAACCAGTTTTTAAGAGGCTACCTGACAGGCTTAAATGAAAATTATTAAGGAAATCCAAGTGGGTGCTTCGTAATTCTTCAATACATAGCTTTCCCTAACAGGAAGCCTCAACACGGTGAAAGGAAAGAGGCATACCGACTGAGATGTGACTAATAAGACCACATAGTTGTAGCCTAATGCTTTATTACTTGGGTTGTGTGAGTATTACATTTGTCAATAGCTTCATTTAGTAAGACAAAAGCATGCATTCTGACTAGACAGCAACATCTTTAGGTCACAGGCTAGTCCTTTGCTGTGTATTCTGCCCAACACACTGGGTGCTATAAATAAGTCATCAAAAATGAAAAGCGAAAATAAACCCATAAACTGAATGAAGGTATGCATTTTTACTAGTTTAATTGAGGTTAGGAGTGATCCCTTTCTCTAAAAAGACAACACCGCTTTTATTTTTTTTTACTAAAAGCATATATTTATAGAAAACTTTTGAAAGGCCACTACTTAGTCACCATACTCTGTCTTCTTATGCAAGTATTTTCATAACAGCTACATTTTGATGAATGTCAGATTTTAGAAAGATCTATTCCAATATAATTAAAATGTTTTTCCATTTCTTTCAGAGTATTTTCCATGAAATAAAGGTCATTACCCACATATATATCCATTTATTGACCCATGATTTCATACACTCAAATATCTCACAATTAAATTGGAGGCCAAAGTCTTATTCCGCTTCAGTCTCATTAGCAAATGTAATTTGAAATAAATGTGTTCATAACATGTTTATAGATGTGATTCGTTTAACATATACTCCTGTGTTAATATCAGTGCATATATTAAAATACAACTTTCATAAAGCAGAAATCTGAGCTATCATTTGTCACTACAAACTCTGCCTGTCGTTATCAACCCCCTGCTTCAGGAGGTTGGTAAAGTTGGTAGTGACAAGGCCAGTAATGGTATTTTTACACAAGAGTCAAAAATGGAGCCACGCAGAAGGTCACTGATTCACAGAGGTCACCTCAGCAGAGAGATTTTAATGAACTAATGCCTTAAACCAACAGCCACCTGCAAATTACAGTTAGTAAAATCCAGGAATATTTGTTCTGAATGGGTAATGAAAGTATTCTTCAAATTACCAACAGAAACCAAAACGTTACAGAAAAGTAATTCAGAAACTAAACTTAACTCTTCTATCTTTGGAATGTCCACTTCTTGGTCATATTACAGCCATTCAATAATCTCTCCTCCATCTGAAATATGCCACTAAACTTTCCACCTTTTCATGAATGCAGGATGATTGAAATTGTCATGCAAGTCAGTAATAACATGGAAATTTAGAGAGAAACTTTTGATAAGGAACTTAAAAATGCGTGGAGCCTTAGCAGTATTTCAACAAATAAACTCTTTTTAAAACAAGGGATTGCACTGAAAGGAGGGGCTTGCTGATAAATTAAATTCTATCATCAGCTTTTACTGAAAACTGACACGTAACAATCAGTCCCTTCTAAGCTGAGCGCTTTGGCAGCCATCCAGGATCGAGTCAAATGCCGCCCAGCTGATTAGCAGAGCACCCACAGCGTGTTTCTATTGGTGGTGTACAACTGCACTTGCCATGGTACACAACAAAATTTATTCCACACATGAATGGAAACATTAAAGGGAACACTAATCACAATCTTCTATGTAAGACTGAACTCATATACACACAGCATCTTACTGTGTTGACAGTTTATGAGCTTAAATTCCATTTATTCTGTGTCTTCAAGAGAAAATATCAGAGCTACATTCACTCAAACTGAAAAATCTGGTGTCAGAGAAAGAGTAAATTCTAAATCTTTTTCTGCTCCATCGTAGCTGATCCCAATACATCTTTGTTGATCCCCAAAGCAATCTGAGTTCTACTGCCCTGTAATCTTAGCTGCCTTCGCCTTCCCAGTGCTAACAGCACAGTGGCCATGAGTGACGTGTTTTTGATCAAGAGGGAAGTGCAAGAGGCTCAGACAGAGCAGATGGCTGATAGTTTGCAATACTGAGCTGTTTCAAAGACTATATTGGCAAGATAAAGAGAAATCTGTTAGCTGACAAGCTGCAGTGTTGAGCAGGGCTGGAAGTACAACACTAATACTTAATAAAAATAAGTATATTGTATTATTTCATATATTGGTGTATTAATAATCTAATACCCCAGTAGAGGAGTCCCTTAAACTAAGCAACTCTATCACGGTGTTTTGAACTAAGGCTAGATACGTAACGACATGTTTTTAAAATAGAGCAAAATAAATGCATTTATGGAGCTCAGCACAGTCCAAGAGAGAATGAGGATCTGCTTCATGAAGTTTACAATCTTGGGCTCTAGTACTGGAAATACTTACGCACACGCCTACCTTTAAATTGTGCTGATGTCAATGGAACTATTTAGGTGATTAAAAATGAGTCTGCGTAGAAGTATTTTCAGAATCAGCACCTACTATAGACCTGGCTGACACACAAATACACTGGATGAGGACGTGTGGCAGTTCACGTGAATAAAAGTTGTATTTATAAGAAATGCACATTCAAACTAGTTGCTATGTACTTCTCAAGCCTCATAAATTTAATATACCTATTTCAGAATAGCATAATACTTTGCAATACGTGCATCTAAGTGGTTTCAAGGTTTACAATTTATATGCTGAGGTATCATGACAAGAGAATCAAAGTCTTAGAGGAAGGAAAAAAACTCCCTTTTTGGAACTATGGAACCTAAGTAGCAGAATTAAGGCAAAACCTGATTTCAAATAGAAAAAAGAGCAGTACTTAATACATGGGGTTGGACAGCAATTTAAAGATTAGGGTAGCCACCCTTCTATTAGGGGAGAAATATGACCCCCAGCAAATACACAGAAGTTACCCAAAAAATGAACAAAAGAGATGTTTGAAAAAAAAGCAGGGCACCATTCATCGCAGCTAACGACTTGTTCATTATGAGTGATGATGGATAAAGACTTCTCACGCTGAGATGAAATCAAGATTTATATGCATTGTTTCCTCTCCCAACTTGTGGGAAGATCATCATCATTTAATTCTATCTCTGCGGCCAGTGATGGGCATCCAGAGAGCTGGTTATCAAACGGCGCAGTCAGCTGGCAAAAGCCGAAACGTGCAGTTGGCACATCTGGACCAAGCCGCCACAGCTGAGGGTGAACAATGACTCCTGGCAAGCAGCCAAATTGCTTGCAGACGCTAGCAGGTCTCATCTACAACCGCCCCTACCAGCATCTCTCTCTCGCTCTCTTTTTACGAGAATCAGATTTTCATTGCTTCATTCAATTGCTCTCCTCTGCCATTTTTTACAGCTCTTATCGTTCCCTTGGAATATGGCCTTGAGACAGCTCATCCGTGTCCTTCACTGTGTTATCTCTCCTAACTTTTATTAAAACTTCAGCTTTCATCTGAAGATAGCTAATTAAATCTGTGACAGATTATACACTCGTTTAAAAGAAAACTGCACCAAACTACTTTCTCTAAACAGAAAAAGGTTTATTTTATTTTCACATACTTAAAACTAAGGGTTCTATAAGGAGGTTTCATTCATTTACAAAGCCAAGATACTGATCTCTACTGAGTATATAGATAGGTTTATATTAAAGTTCTCTGTGGCATGACAAGACTCAGGGCAATTTCTCACAATAATTATTTCTTGCTGCTGGACAGATTTCTCAGCCTTGTACTTTAAAAATATCTCAACTAATATATATGTGAATGTATATTTATAGTCACGGAAAGCATTGTTTTGCAGTACAGTGAGAGAATTACCTATTTTCTTCTGTCCTACTTTCAGTATATCCAAGCTAGTTATAAGAGCAACAGTATTTTGATAGTATTGCAAAAAGTTAATTCTTCCATTATTTCTACCCTAGTTACAATCTGCTGTATTTTTAGGACTTGTTTTAAGTCACATTAAATATCTGTGCCTGACATAAGAAAAGTAAGAAGCAAAGGTATGATCATGTTTCTAGTTCGTTTCATGGTACCACTGGTGTTTAATGCAAGTGTCTTTGCCATAACATACAAACATTACTGATACCACCTATATGGCTTTTGCAAGAAACACTGTCTAATTCTCTCACTGCAAGCATTTTCCAGTAGCATCTGAAAAGCTTTTGTTCCTTTCTGTATCCACTTGTGAACAGAGCAGTTTTGAAGCTGTGCTAAAAATCACAATATTAACTGAACAAAAATTTATATTTTGCAGGACAGTTACAAGAAATAGATTTACGGGGGTTGGGGGGGGAGGGAAGAGGTGGAGAAATACTCATGACAAAACATCTCTTTACAGAAAGCAAAATAAGTATCCCACCTGAACCCCTCTGCGATCCCTTTCTCCGCTTTAAGGCCTTTTGTAAGATATCCTTCATGGTGACCTTCATACTGTCCACCTGAATAAGTGAGAATCCATGAGCAGCATTTCTGAAAGACACACACACACACGCACCCCTTGTTATTACAAAACAGTCACTGTAACAGTTTTTTGCAATCCTTACTGCACGTAAGGGTAGTGAGCAAAATATCTACTGGGTGTACCAATGAACTAACCAGAAAGGTTAACATCCTTGTAACACAACCAGAGAGGTTAAGCAAGCTCCAGAGAGAAAAGTGAGAAAGCTCTGGGTACCCAAATTCATCATCTTTATTTCAGATCACTTTGTGTTTGACCTTAAGAAAGGGAATCGAGTGAACCGAGATGCAGAACTCCTTGATTTCTCATTGCTAGTCAAAGCGTGCTGGGTGCCTCAGACTACACAGGGGCTGGCCCCTCGCTCAGACCGCTTGCCATCTCTCTTTCATACAGGATGCAACCAATGAGCAACGAAAGAGCTGAGAGGGAAAACCAAGGGCTCAGCTTTGTAGTCAGGAACAGGAATGTCTCTGCTGCTTGGTTCTTGTGAGCATTGGGACACAAATTTGGAAGAGGGATTTTAGTGAAAACAGGTTAATTCGCTGGGCTCTTGGCGCCACTCTGAGCATGGAGTATGGCAAGAGAAGAAGGGATGCTGATGGTGGAGAAGATGGTAATGTCATGAGAGGTGCCTGGCCGGTAAGTCAGTAAATTTTGCCCCTTGGACCTTGCTGTCAATCTCTGCTTGTGTCAGCAGATGTCACTGAAGGAAACTTTGCAAATATCTGGGCACACATAGGCAAAGAGCTGCACTGTGAGGAAGAAACTTATTCCATGAGGCAATTTAGACAAGAGAGGGAGGAGTTCTCTCTGGGGCTACTCAACATTATAATAAGGAAACACCATTCTAGATGAACAGCATAGAAGGAATATTTTAAAACTAACGGGCAGCCAAAAACCACCCCATCCAGAGTCAGGTCATTATCAACAGGGCCAAACCGAGCGCTATGGGATGACACTACCTCTGGGGAGAAATCAGTTCCCGTTACTGTAGAAGCCCTATCCTATGCTGCAAAACAGCCTAGTAGGATCACTGAGAACTTTTGCTCATCACACACTATTTCTCAACCACAACCACAGCTGCACTCGGAGACCGACCCAGCCCAGAATGAGCATGCCCACGTCTGTAATGAGACCAGTCCCTCAGGTTTGGAATCCACGTATACTGCTCTTACAACAAACATAACAAATGTGGCCAAGCATGGTCTCTCTTCCCATGTCACCCTACAAAGTAAGGCGTGGAAGTGGGGAAATACCTCATTACACAGAAATTAACATATCTGATTAGATCAGCACAGTAGCCCAGTAGCCCCTCTCTGACAGTGGCCAGTACCAGAGGCTGCAGATGAGGCGCAAGAAACCCTACAGTGGATAAGTATGGAATAACCTACCAATGTAGGGGAAGTTCTTTTTAAATCCAGGCAGTTACTGGGATGGCTTATGCACTGGAGCATGTGGGTTCATATCCACTGTACATCAGACTACATTAAAAACCTGCTTCTGAGAATCTTCTCATTAGCCACGTAAAATGTCTAAGTCTCTGTGGAATTCTAAGAGGCTCTTGACCTAAGTGAAGCCCTGTGGCAGCGAGTTTCAAAATTGTGTTATGTAAAACTATGTCCTTTTAATCAGCTTTAAATTCGTTACCTGCCCATTTCATTTCATAACAAAAGAACAAAGGGAGGGGGACAGTGTAAACAGGAGTGTTACATTTACCTTCTCTATACCATTCCTTATTGTATATAACTATCCTCTCTGAACAGTCAATCTTTTCAATCTACCCTTTTTTCAGTGCCTCTTAAAGTTTGTTCCTCTTCTATTGGTGCTGTATGGAGTGAGCAGAATTGAATACAGCAGGCAAAATGAGGGAGAATTCTGTACCATCATACCAGAATTCTGTACCATCATAGAATTTTCAGCCTTAAAACAGCCTAACATTTTGCTTGCTTTTTGGTTGCTGCCACATACCGAGCAGAGGTTTTCACTAAATTTAAAACCCTGCAATGCACGTGACTAATTCAAGCTATTCCTTTCAATGCACACTACAGTTATCCACACAACATTGTGCAGCCCGTTTGCCTAGCTTTGTTAGACCCCTCCCACAAGTTCCTCACAGTTCTCTCTCGTTTGGATTTATCTACTGAGGAAAGCTTTGTGGTTTTTCTGGTTAAAAGCTGGAGTATGTGCCAAAACATTACAATTCTAGGAACGGAAACTCCTTCTTTTACATTTCTAAATTATCTGGCGTGTGCTAGCGATATGCTGCAAAAGGAGGCTGTAGAGCATTTTAAAGCAATAAGGCTGATGAACACTCCAATGGAGAGGTGAAAATTCTGTCCTGCATGAGAGGTCTGTTGTTCAGATACGTCATACAACATTCCATAGTACAGAAAGAACCTCTAAGCAAATCAAAACATTAAAAAAAATGGGGAAAAACGAGTTCAAAATAAAAGTTAAAAAAAAGGTCAGGGACATGACCAGTCTTGTGGACTTAAATTTTTTTTTAAATGTGTTCTCATAAGCAAACTAAAGTCTTCAATCTAAGTGAAGAAGAAATCAAGCTGCCTGCTGGGAGTGAAATAAGCAACGGCAACTAAACACTGATGCCCTGATTTGAGTTTGCTAGTTCTAAGATCTCTCTGGTTCTCCCTAAAATGGAAAACAGACTTTTAATTCTTGTCACTTCAGCTGTTAAAAAGTAAAATCTGTTGTTGATCCTGCTAGTGTTTCAGTCCAGTTTAACTTGGTCAAGTCTTTCCTTTCGAGCAGCTGGCCTGAGAACTGTCAAAGTAATTTTACTGAACATTCTCTTACTAAATCATGGCAGAACCACAGCCATTCTTTGCCTCAAAAGCTGGATCCCATCCCAGAACAATCTTTAAAAGTTTATTTTACTGATCAAAGCAAAAGAAGAGAGCCCTCTCTGTTTTACTATATTTAGTGAGCTATTCAGTGAGTGAGACCTTGGCAAGAGCCATGAAATGTAAAGCGCACCCCACATTTGTAAACTTTTGGATATTTGCTATGGAATAATGCCAAAGATGATTGAAATGCCACTCGCGGCTCAGACTTACTAGTATTTTCTTGCTTTGTTTTAGTGAAATAAAAGACCATTGCTCTTCTCTGACAATATACAGTAAAACCTCAATGGCCCATGATCGTAGGCAGTGAAACCACAGATCTCTACCGCCAACTTGGGGCGAGGCCAGTGTGTCACGCCACGATTCCCATGCACCAGTGGAAGAGAAGCATGATCCCTTTCCACTGTCACTCTCAGGCTGTGGAAAAGCACTGCCCCTTCCACCTGGCTGGTGATACGGGGACTCATCCCCACAGCCACGCTTGCTGGCCAGCACACTTTGCCACTCTCTTCCACCTGAGCAGAAGAGGTGCTACTGTGATCGGAAATGCATTTCACGGGCTACTGCCAGGTTCTCAGTCGTTTCCGATATTGGTACCGTACATCAAGTGTCCTCGTTAATAGCTGTACCTTATCCAGCATTTGTTTAAGCAGGTGTTCCAATGACATACATTTTAACCTAACTCACTATTGCATGATACCATTATTTTAAACCAAGGAAATTATCTTTAAGCTGCTAGAAAACATGGGGCAGGCAAAGAGAGACTATTCTATCAATTAAAAGTACCTTTAGCAACCACAGAGCCAAAGAAATTCCGTAGACTGTATTTTTCTGTCGTTTTACGAAATCATACCCAGGTGACAAGGTTAAATCAAGCAAAGGAAATCCCTGGCACTTATCATCCACAGGCATTACTGATAAATTGTGCAGTGGAGGAATAAAGGATTACCTTCTGTATTTTTTCATTACACTTTTCTTTTGTTACAGAATACATAAATCCATTGTGGCACAATGCAATATGTATCATCGTGCTACACCTGTGGACGTTTCATAACGGCTGCCATGTCTGTGCAGTCAGGAATGATAAGTGAACCCCCCGTGAATGTTAATGATAGTGATCATTCCGAGGTAACTTGGCTTTCCATCTTCCTTTACAGCCTGAGCGCGGAAGCCAGGGTGGCAAGGTTCAGGCGAGGAAAATGGAAACAAGAAGAAAGGCAAAAGCTTCAAAGCTTGCACTGTTGATTTTTGGGGGAAGAGGCGGGGGATTTATATATTATCTTACCCTTGGGCTCAGTTCAGGTACATAAAGTAACAGCGAGGAAAGGAGGAAAGCCTTCTGTCCTCAACATTAAGGGTAAACTTTTCCATCTACTTTATCTCTCTCATGTAGAAACAACTTTTGTTCTATTCTGAGGTGGAATCTATAGCACTTAAGGTTGAAATGACTGGAGATGACTCAATGTTTTCCAGGGGAAGAGCATGAAATCAAAGTTGATGCTAAAAATCCCAGTTGATGCACTGTTCTTAACTGAGGATGGGCAGTTGCTTAGATAAAGTGCACTATAATGTGAATCATAACGACTCTGTTCACCTACATTTAGCTCTGCCTCTAAAATGCCTCACTTTTGTGGGTCTAAAGTAAGTCTCCTGTGACTTGTATGTGCTTTTGGGGCTGATTGCCATATTATGACACTTTACATTAGCCTTTATACATTTGCACTTTACATGTGTGATAAAATACACTTTGTAGCTAATGCGCATGGCCATGAAAACTGAGGATAGGTCTATTGGGGAACGATGCTTAGCCTCAGAATTGCATTTGTAAGGGCACCACACTGAAGCCTTCCTACGCTTTGACTGTTTCCAATCTGACTCTCCCAGGTATGGAGCTAGTGCAACTCTGAAAACATAAATCCATAACGATCAAAGCAATTTAAACAACACAGGAAAATAAAGCGTGCTCCAGGCTAGAGGCCTTGTGTGCCAAATTCCATTTAGGAGCCAAATGGCAGTAGAGTCTCCCACTCCTGAACAATGCCATTAGTCACAGTGTGTCAAGCTGCGACAATAACATTTTCAGGAAGACCAAAGCCTAATGGGTAGTATCAGAATTACTTTAAATAACTTTGGCTCACTGGCAGTGAGTC